TCGTGGAGCTGAGCACCCTAGGAACACATAAATGAGAAACAGGAACCAGCACAGTCCATCAGATAACGAAACAGTGCGCATTCGGTTACAGAGGACCGGCGCCACACGGCTGAAGCCACGAAGATTTCTGAATTCGGGAAGCGCGAGGCGTGCGGCCGAAAAAGAGCAACAGCTGAAGGTACTGGCAGTAGATTTGGTTATGTAAAGACATAGGAAGCAGCAAGCTGAGGTTCCCTCGCGAATTCCTTGCAGACAAGCCGATCGAGACGTACGCCGCGTACAGCGACAGAGTCGGGAAAACTGCCATCGATAGTGCCATGTGACGGGTCCGTGACGCCGTATGAACGTTGCCGGCAACGGACCGACGGCGCTAGTGGAATGAATGTGGGCCGAGAGGCTGATTGCTACAAGAATATCGCGAGTCTAGTGAATAGCTTAATGAATTGAACTCTGCGCTGGGAGGGCCCGGATACCCAATCGATCCGAGTTACAGACGAAACTTAGATGCATGGAGCAGTAACAAGATGAGGCTGAAGATTCGCTCGAAAAAAGACACTCAGAGGACATCCACATTGCCTGCTGGAATCTGGGGTTCATTGAGCCTAATTGCGCGACAAAGTTTTGCGGGGCGGGTGGGACGGCGTGCGGCAGGTGGGGACGGCGGTTGCGACGGCGAGCGGCGGGGAGTGACGGCCACGTGGCAGTTACGCGGCGACTGTAAGGTTTTGCCGAAAATTCGCGAAAGATCCGGACCACAATTATTTCCAATGTGATCGGCACCTTGCGGGCTCCGCTGAACCCCGTGAGCCGCTTGTTTCGCTTCTTGCTCCCAACCACCATCATCTCCCCTTCATCCCCTTCCCCCCTCCTCCTCGTCCCCGTTTTCTTGCACCTGCCCTTTGTTTTCGTGCTCGACCTCGGCTGAGTCTGTATTTACCCTCCCGTCGCTGATCCGTGTTCACTTGGCTGACCTGTCATTATTCTCTACGCACAGCCTGCCGACCGCCCCCGATTGGCCGACGGCGCATCGCGCGCAGAATGAATATTTCTGAGCTGATGATTGGGGAAAGGAACACAGACCGCCACCCTCACGCTCTCGGTGCATATTCTAAGTCTAAGAAGTCGCTTGACGCCCCCGTACGTATCCTTGTCTCACACGGTTCTACCTCTCTGATAGTCTATCTCTCTTCTTTGTAATCAGGAGGACTCTTTTCCCAAGATCGCCGGCTCGCCATTTACCAACGACGCCTCCAGTCCGGGCACCTCGTCCCCTGGAGTTGCCCCACCTGCACAAGGTCCCACGCAGGACACTTCGCGTGACTTCCACGACTATCCCCATCGCTCAGATCCTAATCGCAATAGGTCTACCTCCAACACGGCCATGTCTCCAGAAGATTCCCGTCCAATGTACGCTTCAAATGAAGACGCGTCCCTGGACAATCGCAAGCCCGTTTCCCGTACTGCGTTGCGTCCAGCTGACGCATCGTCCATCCATCGTTCTCCATTACCTGCCAGGCGCGAATCCGCTTCGGAATACCCCAGACCAGGGTGGGAAAATGCCCCCCCTTCGTCGGCGCCTTCCCCACGCCAGCGTCGTCCTCCCACGACTGAAGCTCGTGCGGCTCTAAGTCCCACTGCTGCTAACAACGGCACGCGTTCTGGGCGCCTCTATGACGAGCGAGGTCGCCCTGTTAATCCACCTGATCGTCCTGCGGCTCCTGGCGAGGGCCCTGGGCTTGCGGGTGACGGTTCAGGTGCTCGTCCAGAGGAACCCGCTGGTGCGCGTCGCGCCCCGTATCCAGGCGACTACGACCAACTCGACAATCGCGGGCCCCCGTTTGAAGAGAGAAATGCACCGTATCCTGACGACGTGACGCGCCCCCGTGCCTACCGCGATGATCGTTATGCGGATGAGCGCGACGAGCGCTATCCTGAGGATCGTGAGGATCGTTTCGCTGATGACCGGCTTTACTATCGCGATTATCGTCGTGATCGCTACGGTCGTGCCGATGACGACCACGCTTATCCTTTTCGCGGCTCGCGCTATGATCCTCGCGAATATGACGCTTACGACCGAGAATATTACCGCCTTCAGCGGCGCCGGGATTATGAACCTGGTGGTCGCTACGAGTACGACGACGACTATGATTACCGCGGCCGGCGTTCTGACCGTGACGACCCAAGAGTTGCACGCGATGATCCTCGGGCTCCTGTCCGTGACGAGGCGCGGCCACCCCTGCGTGAAGGGGAAGAACCGCCCCGCGAAGGTGAGCCTCATAGCGATGCACGTGATGATGCCCACCGTGGTGACGAGCGTCTGGCAGCTGCAGGCGAGAAAGGCAAGACGCGCGTTCCATTCGCTCGTGACGATCCGCGTGGTTTGCACGACGAGGTGGTGGACGAAGGTGGCCGTCTCGTGCCTGTGCGAGAGGATATTACTCCTGTTAAAGCAGAAGGCACAGTTCGAGATCCGCCCCTCCGCGACGAACTTCGCGTTCCTCGCGACAGTTCAATGCCTGGGCCGCACGACGATGGTCGCCCGCCCATGCGCGACACCCCTCATAGCGAATATGTTTACGCCCCTCGGCTGCGTTCGTCTGTGTCTACGCATATTCCACCTCCTCGCCCGCCGTCCCGCACACCGTCGCCGTCGCTCGCTGCGGGTGGGACCCCCCCTCCCATGGCGGGCCGCAATATGCCAACCATCGCACCAAATGCCAATAAAGATGTGGTGATGTCTCCGCCCGAGGGTGCCCCCCACGGACGTACTCCTGGAGGTATGTTACGCGACGTCCGTTCGCATTCTCCCATGCCCCGAGGTGCTCCCCTTTCCGGCAGAGGTCGTTCGCCTGTTCCTGGTATGCGCCCGCGGTCCCCTGCACCTGGTTTGCGTCCGCGCTCTCCACCTATGGTGCGTGGTCGCTCGCCCCCGCTTATGCGTCCTCGTTCGCCTGGTGGTGTGCGCGACCGTTCGCCGCCGCCCATGATGCGTGGTCGCTCTCCACGTCCCATGATACATGACCGCTCTATGTCGCCAAACCGCATGATGGTAGACTCTCCTCCGATCTTGTCTGGCGAGTCGCCACCACCGCGCCGCTTGCACATGGATTCGCCACCTCGCCGCCTGCGTTCGCCGCCACGTATGCCTCCAGACTCACCATCTCGCCGCGCGCGCGATCTCTCTCCTTTGCCCATGGATGTCGACCCGCGTGCTTATGCCTCCCGTCCAGTGTTGTATCCCGGCCCGCCGCGTGATGTCACACGTCGTGATGCACCGATGACGCTTCCCCCGCGTTCACATGTGTCCTTGCCGCTGCGTCGCATGCGTTCACGCAGTCCTGGAAGTCCCCGTCGCAGCCCTCGTCTCGCGGCACCGCGTTCGCGCAGTCCAGCCCGCCGCCCACGTCGCAGCCGTAGTCCACCGATGATGCGCCGTCCTCACCTGCCGTATCCGCCGCCGTACGATTATTATGCGTATCGCGATCGTGAGTACCGCCCGGAATACTACCCATACGATTATCGCCCGGAATACGCGTTTCGTCCGCCACCGGTACCAGGTCCGTTTGTGCCCCCGGATCCGGCGTATGCTGTTTATCGTCCAATGCCGCCTCCAGTTGTGGCCCCGCCCCCAATGGCGGGTCAAGCTGTTGGTGGGCATGAGGTTATCGGGCCACAGGTTCCTATGGTCTTTGCTGGCAAGAAGGGCCTCGCGTGTCTTTTCTGTCGCAAGCGTAAGATTGCATGTGGCCGCCCGATGGATGGAAGTGGTGATATGACGTGCAAGTGAGTTTGATATGTGGTCTGTCGCGTCGATAGGACGCTGATATCTTGTTCTCCTTAACAGTCAATGTTCACGTCGCAATGCTGAATGTATTTATCCTGAAATGTCTTACCGAGGGCGCAAGAAGAACCCGAATTACGACAGTCCTGCGCCTACTAACGGTATTCCTGCGTCCCAGATGGGTATATCGGCTTCGCAAATGGGTCAGCAACAACCAATCGCAGCTGCTGCTCAGTCGGGTGTGTTGTCCACCCAACCTGGCATGGCTCCGCCTCCGGGGATGTCTGCTGGTCCACCGCCGGCAGGCATGTTGCAGCCACAAGGTCCGGTGCCGGGTCAACCATCCATCATGATACCCTCGCATCCTCCCAACGGCATGCCCGGCCAGCCTCCTATTATGCCAGCGCAGCCGAGTTCGTTGCAGCCACCACAGATGCCGCCACAGAATATGGTGCAGGCACCGGCTCCACCACCGCCCGCAACGCAGTCGCCGTCAAATGGCCTGCCGCCCGCGCCACCTCAGGCGGGCATGATGCAGGTTCCACAGCCCCAGCCTGCGACAACCCCGCCGAACCCTAATCCTGCGCCTTCGGCGGCGACGTAATGGTCGTGGCGTGGGTTTCCTGCTCAGTCGATATTTTTTTTTAGTATTCCCTCTGCCTTTCTTTCGTCTGCTGTGTGTCCTTGTTGTGCACTTTGTTGCCCCGGTATGTGAATGTTTCTTGTTCCTCTTGCCTCCATATGATAGTGTGGCGTTGCGGGTTTCGGTCGCACTCATCCACTGTTTTTCGTTTTCTTTGCTCCTTTTTGTGATTCCGGTTTCGATCCTCCCCGTGCGTCGACCGAAAAAAAAATTGGGTGGCATAGGCTTTAGATGTCCTTATTGGGTATTTTTTGGCCTCGCCGTGCCTCTTTTGATCTTCTCATCTTCGATTCGCTTGGTGTGTCTTTCTATATTATGTATGAAGGACTGAGATCGATACTTACCTATGGTATATATATATTAATTTTGTTCAGTTAGCTTAGTTTTATAGTATGATGAAACGGCAAGTCCTGTGACATGCGTGTATATATACGTAACACGCAAATATATGTGAATATTTCCTTGATGCAATTTTTTGGTTCCGTGAATTTTGTGCTAAGGATTCTAGTCAAGGAAGTGTTCCATCGATTGGCTTTGTAGAAATTTGTAAGCTGATAGGCCCCTAGTTTGATATTGCTGGATATGGTGTAACGGCTAACATTTGCGTCTCGTACGTTGAATATCTCGTCAGAGCGCAAACTTGGGGTTCGACTCCCTGTGTCCAAAGGAGGAAATGATTCGCACTCTTTTGCATATGTACAAGGTGTTTTTTCATCTTCCGAGGTAAGCGATTGAAAGTTACGACTAATTTTGAATAAGACTAATATATCCATATACCGACTTGAAATTAAATACACCAAGCTCACAAGCTTCTCCTACAAAGCAACTACACCCTGCTGGCGAATCAATGCAGAGACGCCTCATTGTTGCTTTGAAGTTCTGACACGAGTGAGGTCGTCAAAGCAGTGCTTGGGCTTGACCGTGTGGTAACACTGCTACTCCCCCTTCGCCAATGACCTATAAAAGCTACGATGGCAAGGTCTGAATTTTCCGTTGTGTCCTTCGATTTTCCTAAACATCGACATGCAAATTCCCCGCAATCCCTTGGAGCCTAGAAGGCAGCCGGAGTCGTTTGCAACGGATGCTAGAGAACGGCCCCAGGCCTCCGGACGCTTTCTTCGTGCGCCCGTCAACACTCTCGCGCACTCGAGTCGTCGGCATACTACCCATCCTGAACGTCGACGCGGGGTGCCCTCCAACAGCAGCACGACACTGACGTGTTATCGAGAGAAATGGGACACAGACTCCAGCTGCGCTCTCGAGATTGTCCAAGCGCGTGTACAGCGGTGGATGCGCGTCACTTCGCAAAACAACCAGACGCATTTGTATCCTGCGCAAGTCATGATCCTACGTACCTTCCGCGAAGTCGTCTCGCCTTTCCCTATCACGCCGTGGGTCACTATTATCGCAGAGGTCATCTCCAGGTAAAAATTTAAAGCACAAAGAATATGTATATAGGACATACACTGATATCTCATTTTTTGACTAGCTCGCATCAGGTCGTACTCGCGTTCTTTGAGCATGCAAACACGAAGCCATTGCTCGAGTTCCCGGGGAGGGCAGAGGACTTCCCGGCGAATATGATTCTCGAACTCGTAAGCCGCGGTCCTTCCAAGATTTCTTGTCCGTTGTATCGTTCGCGGACTGTCGAAGGAGACACTGTGGTGTTGGTCAAGAACGACGCACCTGAGAGCTACGGCTTCCGCCCGCACACGGGACCGTGGTCTGACCAAGACATAGAAGCGGCCGTGCGTTCAGCCTACGTCTATTGGGAGCGTCAAGGGGTGTGATTGTCGAATAAGGTAGCACTTACCAGCTTGTATCACGTCGGAAAGTGGCAATAAATGTTACTACGTACATATACTCCATTCAGAGCAAGTCGTCCTCAATATGTACGTTTACTAGTCTCCACAGTCCTAGACGCTACGCAGCCATTGATGGAGTTCAGACGCGTGATAAGATAAGAGGATGCGCATGAGGCGTTCATATACGCAATGCTCTTGTTTCCTGTAAAAGAACGACTTCCACTTAACGGATCACCGTAAATTTCTGGCCTTTATACGAACTTTTTGTTGGTGTAGTTGCTGGCGGTACGAACACCGTCGAGTGATGATCAATGACCAGCTGGAGAAGTAATGATGAATACATACTATTACCGAAGGCACAGCGGACATTTGACATCAACAGGCTTGATTTGGTGATGAAAAAAAAAATGGAGATAGACAAAAGACGAAGCACCGATGCTGGCCTGGACAGTCTTGCGCGTGAAGCGACTTGAAGAAAGCCAATCTCGTGATCGTGTGCCTTCTCATTTTGGACGCGCAGTGATTTGGACGCCGGAGTTGAAACTAAAGTACTAAAGGTCCAATTGCAACTTCGACAGTGTCTACCATCTTCCGCTGAGCGCTGTGGTTGTGCGCGTGTGAAAAGAGGATCTGGATGACATTCGAGCACTGACCTGTCACGTTGTGAGCGACATGTTCATTCTGGTCAGTCGCTGAATTCGAGCATCTGTACCTGCAGCCTGGCGTAGGGCAACAGCGATTCAGTACGTAAACATAAACATACTGAAAAATACCTTTCTGGCGGTATGAGATTCATCACATGTACTCGTCGTCCATGAGCCCATCGTCATCAACATTTTCAGAAAGCGGTAGCGGTTTTGGTCCAGTGTTGAACGTTACTCCAGGACCAACCTCATTCCCCGAAGTTACCTGCTCCAAATCCACGTCTGCTGCTCAAGCGCTCACGCGCCACGACGCAAGTGTTCGGTTTAGTCAACTCCCCTGTTTCCGATTTAATTTCAACCATTGATTGTGCAGGTGCCAGTTTCCCTTGGTACTCACGTGCTATCATCATCCGACGTCCAACCGGGAAGATCGCAGTACGACATTGATGTTCGCTCTTTCGTCCTCTCTGTCTGACAACTCCCAACAAGATCACCGCGCAGTTGTTTATACAGCTCTGATTTCACAGCCGTCCGATATCGACGCCGCTTCCACACCGCAAGCGAATGCTTCATCCCTAATGTATCTCTATGTGGGGAACAGGCAGCTTCGATCCGCGGTCCCGCGCCTTTCAGGTTCGCTTCGGCAGCGATATCGTGATGTCGTGAGACTGCACAGGGAAAATCGTGAGCGGAGAGAGATGGTGAAGGCCCATCAGGATTTCGCTGTCAGAGCTCCGAAGTCCGAAGTCCCAGAAATTGATCCGGCGAGGGCCGCGAGGCGGGCGTCGTCTCTACAGTTTCCGTTCAAATTTGTATGTCTTGCTCTTACCTGTTTTGCAATGCATGTCGTCCTTACGATTGATCTACGATTGATCAGTCGATGCGTGTTGTTAACATTACACAATATCCAATAAATTCGGGAGTAAATGTGTATGCTTCGATAACGACGGCTTACAGTAAAAAAGGATGCCCGTGTGTTTTGAGCGGGTGGCCCGGCGCTCGCACCGGAAAACAATGCCTTTTCGATTGGAGCCTTTGTATGACGAGTGACAGTCGCCGGAGGTTGTGCATGTGAGTATTGGTCAATATTGAACGTTGACTGAACACACTTGACCGTGCTGACACATTTCTTTTGCGAAGACAGGCGCCGCACGGGTGCGAACACTTGAGTAAATTACGGACGTCGACCCTGCGACAGTCACCGACTCCGAGTTTTCAGAGTCTTCTTTCGCGGCTTTGCAAAGCCATTTCTGTCAATGCAGATGTCGGCCTCAGAGCAGCTGCGCCAACTGAGTCAGCGCCTGAGCGACTTTTGTACGCGATCGACTTCTATTCAACTTCTGGTCGCAGCTTGGCTCTTCTGCTAGTTCGATCGACAAGGTCTGTCTGCAAGTGGAAGGTGCACCACGTAGATTATGACCATGACCGGCAGGTGTGGATGTTCACGTCCTCATTGACTGCGCCACGTCAGTCATGCACTAATGTGACGGATATCATTGGGAACAGTTCATATTCGCAAGTAACACAAAAATCATCCTGTCATTCGTCGTTGGGCTGAACGCCCTTTCTACACCAGGAAAACTAGATTATCTTCTTAAACATCTTCTTAAAGAAATTCCGCCGCTCGAAATTATGGCAATCTTGGAGACATAGCACTCCGTCTCTGCTTTGCAAATTCTCGTCGCGCCGTAAGACAGTGTCGCCGACGCGGCTACAAAAATGAAAGCACTCAATCGATGATAACATGTACGAACGACAGAGAGATAGGGACAGGTCATTTAAACATACCCAGGAGCGAGATTGTGTCGCGCCTCGAGCGGTTGCATACCAACAGCTCGACGGCTAGCGAAGGGATGGTGGTTACATGTTTAAAACAGACAAAGACGAGAACAACTCACTCGACAGGCACAGCGGTCGTTTGCAAGGCAAGGAACAAGAGCACGAAAGCGTAGAATGTTCGGACCATAGTAGCAAGTGGTTGGAAAGAGAAACAACAGCAGGAGCGCAGGATGGAAGTTCTCCAGTGGCCAGCACTGTTAATGGAGAGGATGGATGAGATGACCTGGCAAAAACTCTTGTGTTCGGTTGCTTAAATGTTCTCGTCACTGCGTTGTCTGATGAATCGATGACCAAGATCCCAACTGCGCGAATCCACTGTATTGAAGGCTGAGCTCATGGTGACGGCTTGTGTTTGCAGCGACCACATATCACTGATATAGAACAATGACAGAACATGTCCCACTCGAGGTCTCGAAAAGCTTTTCGTTGCCAACGCTGCCATCAAATCAAAGGTTTTGATATTGATTTGAAACGATGAACGAAATTGTATGGCCGTCGTCAATCCGCAAGTCCAATTGTTGAAATAACCGGGGCCGAGCGTCACCAATGAAAAGCTGGTGGCCGCAATATTTGAATGCTAAGCGATATTTTTAGATATGCATTTATATATTGCGCATACATAAAACTACGAGCGGTCCGATTGCGAATGCTGGAGAAAAGTTGTCAGGACCGAGTCAATACAGTCGCCGCGCCAATTTATGTATATAGATTTCCGTCTTCAATAAACAGTAAAACTTTCATGTACATACATAGCCTTGCCGCCGTTGACGGTGGAACATGTACAGTTGAGACGCCGCCGTAGTTAGGTTACTGAACGCTGTCCACCTGTGCGGAGGGCCCGGGATCACACAGGTGTGTCTGGCTTCACTAAGGATACATAGACCATTGCTTAGAGAGCTCTAATCCGGTTGTGCGTTATTTTCTCTATAGTATACTAGCGCCAAACACGACGCAGCAAACCTTGTAATGCTCGGTGAGTGGCCGTCTCCATCTTGCCATAACCAATCGTGGATTCATCAAGACGAGATGAAGGATAGCATGTCGACGATGGACGGGAGATGAAAATTGAAAGAGCAGCGGCTCCACGCAACGATGCCCAGGTCGATCTGCTTACCAATACTGAAGATGCCTTCTCCACCGTCATGCACGCAGCGCCAGGATATGAGAATCTGGACTCCACGGATTGACAAAGGTTTACTGTCTTACTAGCTGCCGGAAGCAGAGGGACTCTCACAACATCTGGATGTTGACAGGATGGAGCCAGGCTTACGCCACAAACCTGATAGTCCTCGATGAAGACGCTACACAGCGGCAAGACCAGCAAGGTGCTAAGCCGGTTGGTGAAGCCAGATGCGGGGGAGCGCGAGGGCCTTTCCAA